GTGTTGGTAACAAAGAGGGTGGGAAAGGGGGGTATGGATCACGTTTCACAATGAAAAAAAATGCCATTTCACGATTCACATGTCTTAAAAAAGCAATTTCACGGAAAACTAGATTCTCATAAAATAATATAATAATAATAGGTTTATTAAGACTATGTTTAATGCATGGTACAGTATCTACACTTTAAGTTCTCTCATTTCTCTACCTGTCAGTTAAAAACTACATCATAACTTACAAGTTTGAGTGACGACAATGACCTCTGCACCTGTCCTCAGCGTGAGGAGAACCTTGTCCTCAGCATGAGGAACCTTGTCCTCAGCGTGAGGAACCTTGTCCTCAGCATGAGGAACCTTGTCCTCAGCGTCAGGGACCTTGTCCTCAGCGTCAGGAACCTTGTCCTCAGCGTCAGGAACCTTGTCCTCAGCGACAGGAACCTTGTCCTCAGCGTCAGGAACCTCGCGAAAGGCCTCCGAAGTTTTTACTCTTGTGCAATCGAGTGAGATCATATAAATTTGATTATCGCGTATCATGTTTATTATAATAATCACTATAATAATCACAGTTCACGAAACAGGCATCCTTAATTCTCATTTCACAGAGCATTTTTATCAACAATCACGCCTCACGGCTGTAGAACAAATCGCATTTCACGACACTAAAATCAAGCATTTCACGCGAACAAATATTGACCATTCACAGCTCACGAAAATACCCTTTCCCACCCTCGACAAACTATAGGAGGTGGGAGGAGGTCTGTGGGCATGCTGAAGTGAAATTTAGAATTTCTGAAATGACATTTCTTGCATTTTTGGAAGATTTCACGTGCACAAACTATGTCATTTAGTTTGTTTTACATGCTGTAATGGCCATGCTTCCTTCAATGTATAAACTATTATTTGTTTATTTTCCACCCAATTAAGGTCAATACTTGGTGAAAGCGATTCTTGATAGTAAAGACTTAGAGTTAGGATTTGTTTGGAATAGAAGTTATGAAAATTTGTTAGGCCATGTTGATGATCACCTGATCTTGAAAGATCTTTCAAAGTTTGCAGAGAGGTATGCTGACTGTTTGAAATATATAAGATGCGAATGACAGGGCCAACTGTCAAGAAAAATTCATCCATTTTTTTGGTAGAAAAGTTGACCTAATTGTTGAGGTTGCACATCCCAGCATCACAGATGAATTTGGAGAAAGATTTTTAGAACATGCGGATTACATGGTAATGACAGATACCAACTTTTTAAAATCAATATTTTCTTTAGAAAAATATCCATTATATATCAATGCTCAAGCTAATTTGTTTAACCAGGGTTTGATTCAAATATGCAGTTGTCTGATAAAATAATATTAGAATTTCTTCTGAACTATTTTTTAATTCTTTACCTTGGACAATTAGACCCCCCCCACTTGTTTGGGGCTGGCTACGCCCCTGATTTGACCTCATAATATGCCAGAAGAGTGTTTGGCATTACAGATAGGGCCATTTATACAGGACATTAATAAGTTACGACTTACATAAGACGTGTCTTATATAAGCAGAGTTATCGTACAAATGTTCTCTACGGCTCTGTCTTATTTACTTGCTATAGCTATTATGTTGTTACCTCCGCCAGGAGGTTATGTAATCATCTGGGTTTGTATGTGTGTGTGTGTGTGTGTATGTGTGTGTGTGTTTGTCTGTGAGCACGATAACTCAAGAAATACCAAACATATCCGTACGAAATTTTGTGAGTGCATTTCCCATCGGCTGAGGAAGAACTGATTAAAATTTGGTTGAATTTGGTTAAAAATTGAATGAGAAATAACAAAAGTTTGTCTTGCTTTTCCCGGTCAATTAAATAAAACTTTATACTGAATGCGTAATTAGGACGTGCATAATATATGCACCAGACATTCAAATTCTAATAACAATAGATTACTTCAATATTTTGTGCGTAGGCGGAGGTATGCAGTCTCTGAGTGCCCTCTAGTTTTGGTTGTTTTTGTTTAATTGTTTTAATATGCAAGGCTAATAATTTTACGTTGTTTCAAGTTTCGGACATGTGTAGTTAGACTTTTTATCCAAAATATGTCATTTGGGACGTAACTTAAATAAGAACAGCTAAAAATCTTGTTCAGTTATTTAAGTCGCGTCTTATTTAAGACACGACTTGAATAAGAATTTTGTACCTTTTATACGACAAACTTGCGTCTTATGTATAAGTCGTGACTTACTTTGTCCTCATGTATAAATGGCCCTAATGTTTCCTTCTGCAGTAACGCTGAAAGGGATAATCCTTACTGGACCTCTTGGAAGAACATGCAGTAACAGTTTAGAACTGATAGAACTATCCAGTGTAAATAAAGTTTCCATGACTTAATTGTCACAAAACTATTTACAGACATGAAAAAAAAACAATTTCGTACAAAATTTCCAGGTTGGATCACCAACCACCTTTGCCAGTGAAGAAATTTGGAAGAAGATCTTCGCAAAAGCGTGTTCGAATTCTCAAGGTCATGGTTTGTATGTCCCTAGTGGAGCTTTCTGGGGAGCTGAAGATGTGAAGAAAATGGCAGATAGAGGCACGCTTGAAGTTAGTCCAGGCTTTGAACAACTTGATGTTATAAATGTGTATAATGGACCTTAATTCCCTAATGAACAAAATTTTGATCTAGACAAGTCTAGGGCAAACATTTCACCACAGCTTGAAAGAGCATCACGAAATTAGTAATATTCCGACGTTTGGTTGCGAAATGTTATAAAATGCAGATAATATAGCCCTGCGAAGTTCGCCATTTTTCAGTCATTTTGTATTAGGCGCAGGAAATTGATACCTTTTTTCAGAAACCGGTTAACAATTTCCCGTGCGTAAAGGCCTGTTTAAACGGATCCAACATTGTTGGACCAACATCATCCAACAATGTTACTATAATAGATATGACTGCTTCTCTTTCAAATATTTTTGGTTAGATAAGCTTTACTCAAACTCTAAACCTAGTCTTGACAAAAATATTTGAAAAAGAATCCGTTTGGGCCATTATTTCAACAATGTTGGATGATGTTGGCCCAACAATGTTGGATCCGTTTAAACAGGGCTTAATACAAAATGACCGAAAAATGGCAAACTTCGCAGTGCTATATTATCCGCATTTTACAACATTTTAAAACGAAACTTCGGAATATTACTAATTTTGTGATCCTCTTTCAAGCTGTGGTGAAATGTTTGTCTAGACTTGTCTAGATCAAAATTTTGTTCATTAGGGAATAGATCCCATTAGTTGATCGTAATTAGTATTATCTTCGAACACAGGGCTTGAAGATAACAATGAAGAAAGCGCCATCAGCATTTAAACTGTGCGGGGAATTAAAAGCGAAAAATGAGCAAGTTACAAAAGATGCTGTTGTTCTGTATTCAGGTATAGTGTAAAGTTTTGAAAAAACACAGCAATTACTAAATTGTTCAAGACAACGATATAGTCCTGGTTTCCTTTGTATTTTGCTCATGAATAATAATGAGCTTGAGAAGTTTAGTTTTCAGTAATCATCAGACATCTTACATTTAGGTCCAGTGAGAGATTTGTGTCCTCTAGCCCCAAATAATGTCAATACCATGGCAGGGGCTGCAATTGCTGCTCATAATTTTGGATTTGATGGTGTTCAAGGCTGCTTAATTTCTGACCCAAGGTGTGTGACAGGCTGTTGTTGTGTTGTGGTGATTTGTTTTTTTGTGTTGTGGTGATTTATTTTGTTGTGTTGTGTTGTGTTGAATTGTGTTCACTTGAAATGTGTGGTTCTCACAATTATAGTATAATGTTGAGAGGCCACTTCATTTCTACTTCCTGTGTCGAAACTTCCTGCCGTATTCTTTATGTAAAACTCCTAGAAAGAATAGACCTTTCCTCTTTTGAGTGAAATTTTGATCTAGACAAGTCTGGACAAAAATTTCATCACAGCTTGAAAGAGCATCGCAAAATTAGTAATATTCCGGAGTTTCGTTGCGAAATGTTGTAAAATGTGGATAATATAGCCTTGCGAAGTTTGCCGTTTTTCAGTCATTTTGCATTACAATCTAACATATTTTGCATCAGTTTGATCATCTGATGCAAAATGTTAGATTGTAATACAAAATGACTGAAAAACGGCAAACTTCGCAAGGCTATATTTTCCGCATTTTACAACATTTCGCAACGAAACTTCGGAATATTACTAATTTTGTGATGCTCTTTCAAGCTGTGATGAAATTGTTGCCCAGGCATATCTAGATCAAAATTTCACTCTAACATAAGGTGTGGGTTTTCTGTGGTTTTGCCCCACAGCCACAGGGAATGTTTGCAGGATATGGGTTGGGACTAGCCCCAAATTTACCCTTGCACTGAAGATGTGCTCTGTGATGCCAGAGCCGCCCTTAGAATAGGAATGTTCGGTATGAGAAATTTCCGGTAGCGGTATACCGAAAAAATTATACCGATATTATCGGTATACCGGTTTTCCTTTGATAATTATAAAGGAAAATTTTTTAATGGATGAAGAGAAAACAAACTTTGGTAAATTGGAAAATTTTTGGAAAATTTTTTAATGGATGAAGAGAAAACAAACAGTAATTCTAAAAGGGAAAACGATAATTTCGAAGCTGTTTCGAACATGTTTCGAACGACACGTACTCAGTGTAAAAAAATCTCACTGAAGTGGAAATTCTAAATCAGTGCAGTAGAAAGTTCTTTGAATTGCCATTCAGTAGTAAAATGAAGGTTATGGTTTCGCCATATAGTTGGTAAATTTAATAACACGGTATACCGAAAAATTCCGGTATATCGGAAATTTCGGTATATCGGTATGGTTGAATATCCGGTATCGATATACCGATATTGATTTAATACCGATATTTTCGGTATATCGGTATACCGAACAGTCCTACCTTAGAAACCCTTTGACGCGATCAGGTTGAGCTGCGTACTTTGTAATTCAGCTTAGCTCTCAGCTGCAAGTAAGGATGCTTAGCATACCCCCACTTTCTTACTGTGTGCAGTTTAGATTGTCATGTCGTAGAAATTGAAGTATTTGGGCCAGGTGAAGAAGGGAACAGATTTCATGTGAAGACAGTACGAACCAACCCAGCCGAGCCAGGAGTTTTGACTGGAAATGCGACCTATAGCTCGTTCCTTAGCAGTATGTTAGGTAAGGATTTGGTAAACTATAAGAACTCTTGGTACTTTACTTCTCCCAAATTTACGCCACCGGAAAGGCGGAGAGTACGTGACTTTAGCCTCCTCTGCAGGCATCGCCTTTTTTAGATTATCGGGCAAAATTTGCTTGCACCGACTTTGTAAAGTACGTGAACTAGGAATGTTCGGTATGAGAAATTTCCGGTATCGGTATACCGAAAAAATTATGCCGATATTATCGCTATACCGGTTTTCCTTTGATAGTTATAAAGGAAAATTCTTTAATGGAAGTTTGAAGGAAATTTTGAGTAATTCTAAAAGGGAAAACGATAATTTCGAAGCTGTTTCGAACATGTTTCCAACGGCATGCACGTACTCAGTGTAAAATCTCTCTGAACTGGAAATTCTAAATCATTGCAGTAGAAAGTTCTTTGAATTGCCATTCAGTAGTAAAATAAAGGTTATGGTTTCGCCATATAGTTGGTAAATTTAACACGGTATACCGAAAATTCCGGTATATCCGAAATTTCGGTATATCGGTATGGTTGAATATCCGCCTCCGGTCAGGGTTAGGAGCCTCCGGTTAGGAGGGGTTTATAGATTGGGGGGGGGGGGTTGGGTGAGGGTCAGGTCATCAATGATGATAACATGATATACGTCATATATAACAGTGCGCCTGTATGATAATATACGTCACAGATTGAAAGATGACCATATGGAGAGGATGTATTGATATAAATGTACGGGATATTATAAGTGTTTTTGCCGCGTTTGACGTCATCATGAGAAGGTCTATTATATTAGACTGACGTTTATTATATAAGTTTCGTCACGCCAACTAAATCTCAGCTCTCATCAGATGACACTGTGCCTTTAAAAACACGCCTTGTTTTTCACTACATCTAGTTTCTCGACACAAAGGAGTTGGTGTTCATTTGTCCTAAAGAGTAAAGGAAAGAATTTAGATGTAGCCAGCATGATGTATCCTGGGGCGGCCTGATAGCTTTCTGGGCGTCGCTCAGGAATAGAATGCGGGCCCATATAGAGTACGTACCTACCCAATATGAACCCTTTCCGATTGGCCTTTTGAAACAAAAATGTAGTGTAATAAATTTAGTTTTTCAAATAAATTGTTTTTGAAACAAATTGTGGTGAACGATCGCATCAGACATTCAACGTAATTTCACGAGCGCTTGACCACTAGTTTTAGAATGTTTGTAATAAAAATAAAGAGCTCATTTCTTTGAAACTCGTAGCAATCTTGTCAATAATCCTTTAGCAGCGAAGCAATATCTTCTTCAATAGCAGCATCAACCTCGTAGCAACTCGGAAATGGAAATTACTAGTCACGTATCATCAAGGGTGGGTAGTAGCGAAGTAGTTGTAGTTCGCTACTGTAGCGAACTACAATTTTCAAGTAGCCAGTAGTTTTGGACTACTTTTTTAAAACAGTAGCTGTAGTGTATAGCGAACTACATTTTGCCTAAAAGTAGCCAAGTAGTTGACTACTTTTCAAACAGCAAATCGCTATTCGCTTCTTTTTAAAATTGTTAGCAACTTGATAGAATAGAATGTTATTAAGACACAGTTTGCTTAAAATTAATGCTCAAATTGCACCGAATAAAGTATGCCGTGCAACTGTTCAAACTGTGCAAGTGCATGGGTCTTATTTGTTAGTCGATTTGTTATAGGTTACAGCCTGAGCTATAGTAGATGTTCCATATACAGTAAAATTTAAAAATATTGACTAGCGAAATAATTCGCTACATTTTTTAAGCAGTAGCTGTAGTCAGTAGAGAACTACTTTTGTTCAAAAGTAGCAGTAGTTGAAGTAGCTGTAGTTATAGCGAACTACAAAAAATTTGTAGTCAACCCACCCTTGCGTATCATGCATAAATTATACAATGCGCTAATAACTAACTTTTCCTGGAAAAAGGAAGACAAACATTCGCTTATTTCTTGTTCAATTTTCAGCCAAATTGAACCAAAATTTAAACGATTTGTCCTTGGGCTATTTTTAGTAGCCCCACAAATTTTCCTATTAATACGTTAGGTATGTTTTGAGTTATCATAGTGACAGACAAACATAAACGAACCTCGTGGCTGAGGTAATATTAGTTAGCGAGGGCCTTGTGTTAGCCAACAAAACTTCAGTTTCGAAAACGATCTTTCACACACGAGCATTGTGTGTCATTCAATTTCCTTTTCCGAAAGAACATTTTAAGACACGTCGCCAAGTCGATATTTCCGTGACGATTTTTTTCGTTAACAAAATTGGCGGCCAGGCCAGAAAGTTATCTAACGTGATTTGCATCGTTGCCACAGGAGTACTGGTTTGAGTGAACGGAAGAAAGATCTATTCTATGCTTGTGTGAACGAAAACAATAGCGACTAGGCATCTGACGCCGTCGAAACAATGTGAGTGAGATTTTCAAAACAATGAAAAGACAATGGACCATTCTGGATCATGACCAGCAATTGCGCAGTTGTTATGCTTCTTTGTGTTATGGAATAGTCCATGGGACTGCCCGAATTTTTTAAATATCAACTTGATATTTAAATCATTTCGGGTAGAGTGCACGTAGGCTATGGGATTGGAGAAAATAAAAAATTGGCCATAGTAATCCTATGTGCATGAACGTTTACAGTATTTTTGTTCTCTTCAACGAGGGGATAAAGAGACGCTCATCTTGGCTAGTTTCCACTACCAAAGTTTCTGTGACCACAGTAGGAATTTTGCATAGATACATTTTTAGTTTTGAAGAATTTATAAGAAATGTTCGATGGAACTGTCGAACACCAATTGACTTTCCCTCAAACATTTCTTACAAATCTTCAAAACTTAGAATGTAAAGGTTAAAGCCTCTCTCGACTCTCGGAAGCTCAGTGGCAGTGATAAGGACCATTTGAGGACATGATGATTTTTCAGTAATCTGATCTTTCGTTTTTGGACCGGGTTACATTTAAGTGTTCTTGATATAGAAATGAGTCATGCAAAAACACGCGGCACTGCCGAAAAAGCAACTCTGTCCCCCCATCCGGAAGAAGGAAACGAATAGGAAATCGTTCATTATTATGGCACGCAAAGCCACAAGTAAACACAATAAAATCCTTCATCTATAAGACGAGAAAACACGATTATAAACTTGGACTAGCATTCCTTAAACGGAAAGTCATTGAAAGAGCTGTCTTTCTCACGCCTTTTAAAGCTAACGTTTATGGTCTTTATACACACCACTTAAGTGTGGGACGTTTTAGAAGAAAATATTGAGGGTTGTACCTATTCATTATTTGCTGACGTATAAGCCCCTCCCGTATGATCAGGGAAATTTGACACGAGAGAACGCATTTGCTTTTGTTTTGGTGACCTGCGAAGACACATCCTTCGTCGATCGTCGCGAAAATACATTTCCTGTTGCGAACGTGTCAGATAAAATAGCTGGGTTTGGGACACTCGCTGCATTTTAAACGGACTAACTTTCAAGTTGTGTACTTTGAGATTAAAGACTGAAGTATATTACATACTAGAAAATGGGGGAAGAAGTTGCGGCCGAGAATGGCTTAAAAACACACATAACACTTGACACAGAAGTCGCTAACGGAATCAAACATGCTGTTTGGACTCTAGATGAATCGAATACTGGCAAAGTAGCGAAATCCCAACTACAAGCCATGGTGGCTAACGTTTGTCAGGCCCTTAAAATTCCTTTCGCGAGTGATGGCTTAGAGAATTATTTGCCAGACAACACCGATCTGTCAGTGTCAGAATTTCTTGAATTTTTAGAAACTCAACTGCTCGTTAAAGGTATGTAAATATGTGTAGAAGAAACCTCTCTCGAGGCAGTATTTTCTCAGCAAATATCACACACAGAATGAGTGTGCTTTGCCCCTTATATGGCAGCCTATATTGATCAAGGAGTCTCAATATAACTACTCCAAAATTTAATAAGAATTTAACGGTATTTTCTCAAAGTAAATTAGTTTAAAGGATTGATTTAACATGTGATAAGAGAGCAACAATTTTAAACGTTAATTAAGCCTGGAGTGATGATATTTTGTTTGGGAACGAAATCTATTATGACAATCGCAATGGGGGAACTCATGCGTTTATCATTTTTTAATAAAAATTGGCTTTTACATATGCGAAAGAGTACAGTTTCCTCGATATGTTTCGCTTGTGTGTTTCTGTACTTTTGTACTGTATAGTCTTTGTAACTATTGGCTGAAAATTGTACAAATTATGGCGTAAAAAAGGGGACATCTAATCCTGTTTGGTTTGTTTTGCATTCCAAAGAACGCATTTAGTTCCGTATTGAATATGTTGTTACAATTATTGTGTTGTATCAAATTTTATGTATTCATTTTATTCCAAGGCATGTAGATGTATTGTTGATGTACAATTTTTGGCAAATACTACATTTCCGACCATTCTTAATTCACAAAGTTTGTTCTCATGTTGTTGTGATCTCGTGTTGAAAAGCATGTAGGCGGAAATACGTTTTCACAGCACCCTTCCATTAAACTAATGGGATATAAATAGTATTTATAGTTGCTTGAAACTATGGGTGTTTGAATACATCAACCAATTAATATAAGAGTAACATTGATATATCCAATGAATGTGGTTGGAATTGGAATATTGGGTCAAAATACTGTCATTTGCATCTAAATATGAAAGATTGTCTGTACTCTTGAGTAAAAGCATAGGGTAAAATGTAATTACTGTAATGATTTGAAGATTTCAATTTATAGCCTTTTTCATGCTTGGCTTATCCACCATTTTAGGGGTACAGTCTCTCCCGAGAGTGCACACACTGTGAAATGTGACTTTTTATCACTGTAGGTGTGTGTGTAATAGTAAATTTAGGGACCGGTCATAAAGTAAAGGGGGGGGGGGCACTGGGAAAATCATATATTTGGTGTCTGCAATTTTGGTAGCCCACCCCTTAATAGCTGCTCGAAAATTTGTAGCCCATCCTTAAATTGGTGCTGAAAAATTATGACCCACTTTTACAGAAAGGCAAAGATACCAGCGTTCCATTTTTCTGTTGCCAAATAATTCTGTGTTACAATACTCAATAGCTATTCAAATGGTGCAATTAAATACAGAAAGGTCTTTCTTTGCATGGAACTTCCCATGCATACTGCATTATCTTTCAGCTCAGAATTAGAGAACTTTAGTTTGACATTTACGGCTAACGTCAATCCGCTAACAATGATTGTGATTTAACTACGCTCTCGTAGAAATTACACTCATTTTGCTACATAATAAACATCCTGTACAAAGATTGTGACATTTAACTATAATATCAGAAAATTAGTTAGCCACTAAATTCAATTTCGAATTCGAACACTTTACGAAATATGGGGAGGGGCTTGTGAAAAATTTTAAAATTTGAATCCCAGAAATGGCATTTGCAGCATTCTGAGAACACATTTTGTAAAAAACTAGGTTTTCAAAACACTGTTTTAATGGTGCGTTTCATTATAAATCACATGCTATGATGCTAAGTATTGAAAACCAACATTCAGAGAAAATATTACATGATTATTGATTATTTACATTTGTGAATGGAATTGCAAGGTGCTTTTAATTAATTTAATTAACACGCCAATGACAATGCAAAAATTTATTCTTCAAGTGATGATGTTAATTGAATTATCCATTGTTTTTGAGCATAATAGTCTAATACGCATTCAAATATTATTGTGCAGCAGGAAATTTCGCCGCTAAACAATGGTATAAGTTTCTGAAACAACAAAAAATCGACAATGACATTTAAAGAAGTGCCTGTTGCAAAAAGACAATCCATCAAAGAGTGTATAAAATGCGTATGTTGTGATATGTACAGTACAGAAACTTATATTATTATATTATGACAACAATTGGGTTATATGAGTGTGATTTGTGTTATTTGGTACAAGAGTGCCCGCCACTGATTAACCAAGACAGACTAAATTCAGCTTTTAAGTTTGAGGTTAACATTTGCAGTATAAATTTTACACATGGATCCTAATACATTTTATTTCTATTTTTATAATATGAATTTTAATACACATGCTTTTGAAAAAATTTCTGCATATTTTTACATGGCCCACCCTTATGATTGCAATTAACTTTCGATGACCCACCCTTTTAACCGTGCTCAAAAATATTTATCCACATTTATCCTGAGACAGAAAAGTTGAGACAGAAGACTCGGTGGTTTGGATTTATATCAGACAAGTTTCCCATCTCAATCTGAGACAAGTTCTGTCTAGATAAAAAAAAATGGCGACATGGACCTTGTTTTATTTGAGTATAGATAATATGTTTTGCTTTGTGACTGTTCATCATCAAATACAAGTACTGGGAGTTTATGTAAATCAGCATGATTTTGTATCAGATTTACAAACTCCTTCACGCTCATGATCCTTTTGTGTTTTTGTCATGAATTATTAATAAGTTTCACAAATACATAAATTACGAAAACTGTTTCTATTGAAACCCTTTTTCACTTGTTTCTCAAATTATTTCAATTAAATTAAAAGGTAAAAAGTTAAATCCAAAAGAACTGAACGAGCTATCGTGGGTTGTGGTTGGTCAGAAATACGAAGATGATCCACACATGATAACGAAGAAAGATGCATTCAAATTATGGCTCGTTTTCAAGAAACTCGACATCAGTGGAGAGCTTCGTGTTGATGTGGAGGAACTATGCATCATTTTGGAGAAACTTGTCCGTGGCATTGGTGTCCAGTGGAATGAGCAGTTTCTGACTGATTTTGAAGAGGACGGCGCATTAACGTTCTGGAAGTTCATTGATTGCCTAGAACGCAAGTTCCTTATTGGGGTTGAGAAAAAGTATAAATTTCAATCAAAATTATTAATGATTATTACAGAAACGATCAACAGTCTCCCCTGCGGATAAAATGGTGCTGTTTGGGAAGGGGGAGTAAAAACCACTTCTGATAGTAGTATTAGGACATCCTATTAAAGAGGATGAGAAATTGAGGACACCTTTCAATTTACTTTTTGGGGGAGGGGTGTGATCGATGTTTTTTAATGATCCAATGTACGTTGTAGCTAGTTTCCATTGCCATGTCGTTTAATTATCCATTGCTTTCCACCTTCATCATGTTGCTATTGCACTTTGGTCATAGCTTGTGTAGTATTTCAATACATCCTTCTGGAAAGCTGTGGCTATACAGAGCCTTGTTTCTGTTTTGAGCCTCAGATTGGCTTAAGAGGAATAAGAGCCCTTTATCATGTTACTGAATACAAAAGTATAAACAGGTCTTCTATATTCACTATTATAACTGTATGATTTTGTAAATTTGTCACCTGTAACTAGATAAATATAAACCAAATATCTTGAAAACAAGGCTTTATAGCTAAGACTGAGAACTTTCCAGAACGGTGTATTATGTCACAATTTTATTTCTTGCTTGTCCATTTCAACACAATGTAACATAATGCTGCCACGTTAAATACTGCAAAAATATTCACCAAACATTTGTAGCCCATGTGCTCCTGATAATTAGGTCTGGAAGCCTTGAAATTTTAATATTTATTTAAATATTCTTACAATATAGTGTGCTACGCGAAGGTCTACAGGAGCTCTATGACTTTATCCTTGATGAAGTAACGAGAACAGGCTTCCTAACGAAGAAAGGTCACAGTATGTTAAAGAGTCTAAAATCACGTTGGTATGTCCTGAAACCTGACAAACTGACATACTACGTCTCAAGCGGTTATCGTGAAAAGAAGGGCGACATTATCCTCAACAATGAAACCAAAGTAACAAGTATCCCAGACAAAGGTAGCAACAAATGCAGGTTTTTGGTGACCTGTGGCTTAACCAAGAAAGATTACGAACAGACTGCCCAAGATCAGAGAACAAAACAAGCTTGGATGACTGACATTCAGACTGCAATTGGTAGGTGGAAAATTCCAAGAATTCTCTTGTACTCTATGTTGCATTTCTGTCTTTGAACTGTAGTGGTTAAGTTTGTTTGTGAGTTTGCTATTCTCTAGCCAATCAGTAACATAATGCTGCCACGTTAAATAATAGCCTTTCTAACTTAAACATTCCAAGTCCAACAAACATTCAAAGTCTGCAATTAATGTCCTATATTATCTCTCTATATGTAGATTGTTTTGGCGGGGAGACACCTCTGAAACGAGATTTGATAGCACGGAAAGCAAAACGTGATGAAGACAGAGCAAGGAAGGCAGAGGAAGAGAGAAAACGACGAGAACAGGATGATCTTCTCGATCAACAGAGAAAGGTAATAACTGAAGAATAGGAATGTGCTGTTGTTGCTGTTGTTGTTGTTGCTGTTGCTGTTGGTGTAAGTTGTTGGTGTAAGTTGTTGGTGTAAGTTGTTGTTGTTGCTGTTGCTGTTGCTGCTGCTGTTGCTGCTGCTGTTGCTGTTGTCGTTGTCGTTGTCGTTGTCGCTGTCGCTGCTGCTGTTGCTGCTGCTGCTGCTGCTGCTGCTGCTGCTGTTGCTGCTGCTGCTGCTGCTGTTGCTGTTGTTGTTGTTGTTGCTGTTGCTGTTGCTGTTGTTGTTGTTGTTGTTGTTGTTGTTGTTGTTGTTGTTGTTGTTGTTGTTGTTGTTGTTGTTGTTGCTGCTGCTGCTGCTGCTGTTGTTGTTGTTGTTGTTGTTGTTGTTGTTGTTGTTGTTGTTGTTGTTGTTGTTGTTGTTGTTGTTGTTGTTGTTGTCGTTGTTGTCGTTGTCGTTGTTCTTGTTGCCATCGGACGAAACATAAGACTTATGAAGACGAACTAGCTAGGTTTGCACGATCCATATTGGCAATCATGGGTTCTGGAAACGAATAATCCCTGATGAATAAGTATCTTATGGAAATCACTCCAACTGTAACTAAGATTAAGTCTTCATTTTTATTCAGGAAATTGACTTACTCAAGAAAAGAAAAGAGGAAATCGAGAAGCTTGCAGATGAAGAAAAAGCGATGTTGGATGCGGAGATAAAAAGACGAGAAGAACTTGAAGAGATACAACGAAACCTACAACAGTTACTTGAGGAACAGAAGCGAGCCAGAGAAGAAGACGAGAGGATCAGAGCAGCGAAAGAAAGATTGTTAGAAGAAGAACGAGTGAAGAGAGAACAACTGGAGGCACTACGACTTCAACAACAGGAAGAACTAAAAAATGAAAAAATGCAGAAGGAAGAATTAATAGAAAAACAGAAAGAACAAGAACGAATCTTGGAAGAGGTAAAGTGAAAATTATTTCCGGGCGCTTATTTGTTTGCGTTGTTGGTAGGCTTTTTCTTATATTAAAGGCACAGTCAGCCTTTTGAATGATGGTTTTTAAGGTGCATTTCAGCCCTTTTAATTGAAAAAACTAACTAGGAAAATCAATTAAGTATAATTCAAGAACAGCAAACTTAATGTTTTTAACATTTTAAAACATTTTTGTTGTTAAAAACATTGAGCTTTTACTGATCTTGAATTATGTACAATTGATTTTCCTAGTTAGTTTTTTCAATTAAAAGGGCTGAAGTGCGCCTTAAAAACCATCATTCAAAAGGCCGAACTGTGCCTTTAAACTGAAAACAAATCCTGGGTTGGTTTGTTTGAGGAATACAGAGCCGCAGAAGTAAATTTGAAAACTGTCAACACTTATAGGAACAAGAAAATTAAACAACATCTCTCAATTCTATTTGTTTGCCTTGAGACACAAGACTACTGCCCATAATGAAAATAATTGTCATAATTTTCTCACTCTGATAAGTGCAGCTAGGTTGACCACCATCTGCTATACTACAGATGAGTATCTGTACAAAACATGACGGCATACCGATCGAATTAAGTTTAATAAGTTCTTGGTAGTTTTGCATGGCGACAATACAATATAAACTTTGGTTATAGAAACACCACGTATATTTTTTATTGCAACGCTTCCGATTCGTAAGCCCGGACCTTCATCAGTACTAATTATATATGTATTAGGAATTGGAATTGTAGTGATGTAAATATAATGTTCTCGTTGTTTCAGGAACGCAAGAGACTTCGACATTTGGAAGAGGAACGGATGAAAGCAGAGGAGGCAGCCAAGGCGGCGAAAGATAAACTCACAGCGGCAGAACAAGCTGCAAAGAGCGCCGCCGAACAGGCTAAAGATAAAGTACGACAACTTAAAACATCAATCGGCCTTAAAGGAACTGTTGGTCCAAAAGTTGATCCTCTCGTATCACATCGCGGCAAAGGTGCTTTCACTTTGGAAGAGTTTCTGAACCGCGCTACAGAATGGAGTGGCTTGCCTCTTGGCGAGGAAAAACCCAAGTCCAGTACAGCGCCTGAAGTTGATGAGCTGGTGAAAGCTTCGGCAACTCCGGCTTCGAACCAGAATATCCCTGAATTTCTCAAGAAAGCTGCTGCCTGGAGTGGACTGAATCCTGAGACTTATTTAGAAGCAGAGGCAGAAGGGAAGAAGAATTCTCCTCCTCCAAAAGTTGCTGCTAAACCACCCAAACCTTTGCCTAATGCTGCCAGGGCAGGTGAACAGGGGTTGCAAGTGGGTGAACAGGGGTCCAAGGAGGGTGTGGAAGGATTAAAAGTTGGGGAAAAGGAAGCTGAAGTGAATGTTGATGAGAAGGTAGAGGGTAATGATGGATCGCAGGTGGTGGGTGATGTATCTGAGGGGGTAACTGTGAGCAATGATGATTCTCAAATGAAGGAGGAAGGGGTTAAAGAGGAGTCTGAAATTAATGAGGGATCGCAGGTGGAGGTTGTGGATAATGGAGAATTGCAGGCGGTCATTGCTGATAAAGAGGAATCTAAGGTGGGGGTTGTTAAGGAACCTGAGGTAGCAGTTGTGGATAGTGGTGGATCGGAGGTGGCGGTTGTGGATAATGTTTCTGATGTAGTGGATAATGATGAATCTGAAGTGAAGAATGAACGTGTTGAAGGAGAGTCAAATGGGAATGTTGAGGATTCTCAAGTGATGCAAGGGGAATGTCAAGGAAGTGAAGAGAGTAAGAATGAATATGAAGTGGTAGATGGAAATGTCCAAGGATCCCAGGTGAAGAATGAAAGTTCTCAGGAAGGCGTTGGTGCCGATTCTGTTGTAACCGAGAAGAAATCTTCAGATGCCGGACAGGATGAGGAGAAGAAATCTGAAGCTGAAGAAGAAAGGAAGGAATCTGATGTCGTGCCTGAGGCAGCAAACTCTGGTGAAGCTGGAGAGAAAAATTCTGAAGTTGGGGATGAGGGAGCAAAAGAAGCTGGAGTTGACGTGGCCAAAGAATCACAGTCTGATGATACGTGCTCTGAGGTAAACAAAGAAGAATCTAAGGAAAACAAAGAGGAATCGGGAGTAAACGAAGAAGAATCCCAGGAAAACAAAGAGAAACCTGGAGGAAACGAAGAAGAATCCCACGAAAACAAAGAGGAATCTGGAGTAAACGAAGAAGAATGTGGAGTGAACGACGCTCAAACAGAAGTAAACCATGGCGAACCGGACAAGAAGGAACCGGAATTAAACAACGAGGCAACGAAATCCAACAACAATGGAACAGAAATGATTGACGAAAACAGCGGAATGAAGGAAGAAGCCAGCCATGAAAACAATCAAGAAACCGATGCCAAGAATGGCGAGAGTCAAGAACCTGACACAAGTGTTAGCGATGTTGATTCACCTGCGAGCCAGGATGCTACGGAAGAAAAGGACATTATTGTCGAAAACGGACACGTCCGACAGTCCTCTGATGACACAGAGAACGCAAACGAACTTCCGAATAACGGAGATGTTAAACCTGAACCGTCTGAAAAATGTGCAAACCCTATTGAGAACCCCACTTCGGAAAATGTGGAAGTAATGAGCAGTTAAATTTTCTTTAGATTGCTTAGTGTGAACAATAAAAGACTAATAAAGGACAATATAAGGCATACAATTCGACCTTGAATTAAAGCTGGTTTACAAAGTTCCTGCAACTATCAAAGTTCCTAAGCTTTCTAATAAATGTTGTGGTCACAGACATCGATATTTTAAACCAGTTTTAAATCGTTGAGTTTTGAATGTAAGATACTAAGTATTTAGGAACAAACGTATATAAAAACCATCGGTGCAGTGCATGATGGGTTGGGTTCTGTTAATAATTTTGTATATGTAGTTTTAACATGTCGTTAAAGTTAATTTAGAAGTAAGACTATAGGAGGTACAAATCGTGTATTTATTTTACAATATTGTAATTTATTTGTTCGTGTTTTAGTAAAGAACAAAAATATAGTTGTATTAATGACACTTGTTGTAGTCGTAGTTGTTGATTATTTCCTATTTTCAAAATAAGCGTCCGTGTTGTACTACTTAAGGTTACAGAACACCCTTGAGTGTTAATTTTGCCTAAAATTTTTTTATTGGTTTCCATGAAAGCATTAGACTAGTTCTACTATCTGACCAAGTTTGAACGAAAAATGTTGAAAACTCGCAGAGTTATTTAATAAAATACATTTCGCTGCAATAAGAAAAACATTTAAAATGTAATATTCAAATTAAATTTTCTCCCGAAAAAGTTTACGGTAATTACTGATTTTCAAACGAGTTGTGCTCCTGCGGATTTTAACCAATTTTTCTCAAATTTTCACAGGTCATAGCTAAATACGTCAGTTTCAAAATTGTGTTCGGCTTTTTTTTAATTTTGGATATTTTAAAAATAAAGAGCAATTCACTCAAACAATTCAGAAATATATTGCAGTCGTCAAAGAAATCGCCATATCAGCGGAATGACGAAATAAACAAAAATTTCCGAACACAATTTTTTAGAACAACTATTTTACTGTATAAAAATGATATTTGCATAAATATAACTTAAAACCAGCAGGAGCACAACTCGAAAGCGTAACGGTACCGCGATTTAGGATTTTCCTGAATAATTCTTACATTATTTTATTGTTTGTTAATTTTACAACTTTACCATATTTTGCATGCACTGGAGAACATTTGGTGAAAATTTGATGAAAATCGGACTGATATTGAGCGCGCAGTAGCGATTTTCCGCAAAACGCCAAAAAGGGTGTCCTGTAACCTTAATTTAAAGCACGAGAAGGCTAGAAGTGCTTTATCATATATAAAATACGAGTGCGCAGCACGAGTGTTTTATATCTGTCAAAGTGTGGACTGCGAGTGTTTTAAATGGCTTAAAAAACGACCTATCTGATGAGTTCATTGGCGAAGTTATTTTAAAAATAAACATTGTCTAAGCTAAATGTTTATGAGTAAATTAACATGATCTACCGCCTTTGGAGCCTCTAACATACGATAGCCAGTGGCGTTCCCTGACAAAATTGCTGCCCCCCCCCCCCTGAGAATCTGGGCTTATTTAACCTGAGTATCAGCGTGCCTGTGGGGGGGGGGGGGAGGTCGGCAAAATAATTTTTCCGGGAAAAATTTTTTGGTACTAGTCGGGCACAATCACGAAAAGTCGGGCAATTTTCTTTCCGCCCCCCTAATTTTTTCCTTCCGGTACGCCCATGCATGGTAGAAAAAGTATTTTGGGATGGTTGAGTCTGCGTGCGTTTTTTGATAACATAGCTCCAATCTCTTAGAGAGTCTAGATTTTAAACAAATTCTGAAGTGGATGCAACCCGATCCCCAACAAACTATCTGTACTATTGAAAAGCTACAGAGCTATATTTGGTGGAACATTGTTGTTTCGCGGAGGGCAGTTAAAAATCGCATTATTGAAATCTTGTTTTATTACATATTAATCAAAGCTCATTTTGTGATTTCCCCTTGTTTAAAGTAAGGGACAGTAAGTGTTCTTTAGGCTTAGTACAGGCTGTACAGCAAAGTTGTTGGACGAATCCATGGCTGAAAACGCAGGAAATGGCATTTCCGAGGTTCAAATTTTAAAATTTTCTCGGGGGAGCATGCCCCCGAACCCCCAAGGTTAGTGGTCATTCATATACTGTACCCTCCCCCCATTTTCGAGTACTCTACTCTGTCCCTGCACGTTTTAGGTTTTGGTGCAGTTATACATTTTTTGTAAGTACACCTGCACGCTTTGATGTGGGGAACATTAAGACATAACCAATAACCATATAAAATAAAGCACAGTGAAAATTCCTTGGCCCCTCTTGGGATTCAGTTCTCGGCCTCCTCTGACTGAAAACCCCAGCTACGTCTCTGACGATAGCTATATGAAAGCCTTAAGTTACTGTAAGCCGTTATTATGAGAGGCAAAAAAAATCTTGCGCTGCACTTTTACAGGAAAAAAATATCTGTCTTGTTCGCCTGGGCGGGAAAAAAATTCTTGCGCAGTCTGAATCTTCCAACCCCACTCCCCCTCAAAAGTCAAATGGTCCGCCCCTAAGTCATGAAATTGTGCAATTTGGTAAAAAAAAATGAACTTAATACGTAAATCAGCAGGATTTTGTATCAGGTCAGGTATCACAAGGCAAGGTCCTTCATGGTCATCAGTTTTTTTCAAAATTAAAAATCTTTGTTAGAAATCAATCGAGCTTTACAAAATGGTCTCGGGCTGCGCTAAAAAACATTTTCCTCGACCTTAATTAATGTTTATGATAATCAAATGCCATAAATTATTCAAATATTTCCAGAAAAGATAGGGCGACGTCATCTGATATGGGCCAGCCCGTGCAGTGCAGAGAGGACCACCCGGCATATTCCACTCCACTCACGTGGCACCTCCCTCAGTTCGAGGCTTCGTTCAACTCCTATAATCTTTCTTTTACAGTTGAATTTCTCGTTTGAGTCTGTATAATTCATCGTCTATACATCAAAATACAACAAAACTGAGCTGATACCAAAGATCTGTCATTTCCCCGTGGCCTGATTTCTTGTGATCACCATGGCTCAAGTTTTACCCATTAAATTTCAGGAGCATCTACAGGTAGGATGTTGTAATACTATGGCTGGATCATACTACCGCTTTCATTTTCCACTGAAATATTTGGGAATAACACACCGATTTGTCTATTTCCTTTAAACAAGCGACAATGAAAGCTAAGCTTGAGATATATGTAGTATCTTTGTGATATATCTAACTGTTTGCATTAAAAAATCGTCCTTTAAAATGTAGAATTGTATGATATATGTACTCTATATAGTTGATAGTTGTAACTGGATATGTTTCAAATGCATTTTTACTGCCTCGACAGATCAACCGGATTTTTTGTGTTTAAAATCTATTTCCTTTCTGCTGCGAAGCGTTCGTCGTTCTGATTTTTTCGATAAGATCATTTATTCTAGATGCTATTTCCGGCTGTTAAAACAAGCAACAATGTTGTTCATTTTGACCGGAGTATATAATGTATTGCATATTTTCCTAGACTGAGGGTAAATATAAGATATTTGCCCTGTCATGTACCAGTAAAGTTAGCTTAAGGATTCCTCACTTAATCTACTCAATAAATCTGTCAATATGATGTGATCTGTTTAGATTTAAAATTGGTTTTGCTTTAGTATTTCATAGTTGTGTGTTTGAATAAGATGGAATATAATGACAAATGTACATTGGAAGTGCTTCTTAATGAGATGTGTTTGATGTCAGCGTGCTTATAATCAATATATTATTCTTTTTCATGAGGCTATGCTTAATACTTTCATGTGTGAGACTGAGACAACTGTCATTTGAAGCATTGCCAAATGGGCCTTCCATAATTTTAGTATGTACAGGGAAGTTTTTTGAAATTGTACTTCCCCCACCCCTCTTATGCAAAGAATGATAGAAACAATGTCAATTGAACAGCAGACATATACATATAACTGACTTACCCTCCCCTTGTAGGTATGTACATACTAAATGAATGACCCCAAATGCACTTGAATGTCAAAGCTGCATGCTGTGCAGGTGATTGTGAAAGAAAGACAGATGTCATTGGTAGGGGGGGGGGGGGGGGG